AGGGATGAAACTTGGGTCCTTGCAAGAATCTTGCGAGGCAGGTGGTGGAACCACTGAGCTAAAGCCCCAACCATACCTGATTTTAAATTACATACACACCAACATTTTCTACAAGCCAAACAGCACTTAGATTATATGAGAGAATTAGATATCTCAGTATATACTATTAATTGTGCAGACAGCACTACAACTGATGGGGACACCAGTGGTGATCTAGATGGCTGTCACTCCTGGTCCTATCTTCAGAGACACAAACAATAGGGGAGCTAAAAGTTCCTTTACTGGTAAATTCCTTTACTCCCATCCTCAAAAACATATTAATTATAAAAATTTTTTAAATGGTTAGGGATGGTGGCACACACTTGTAATCTTACCCACTTAAGATCAGGCAGGAGGGGGCCAGGGATTTAGCTCAGTGGTGCCACCACCTGCCTTGCAAGTGCAAGGTCCCGAGTTCAATCCTTGATACCAAAAAAAAAAAAAAAAAAAAAAAAAAATCAGGCACGAGGTTCTCAAATTTGAGGTCAACCTGGACCATGTAACAGCACAATGCCTAAAAATAAAATTTAAAAAGGGATTCGAGCCAGTGTATATATTTTAGTGTACATGTTTCCGAAGCAAGCACAACTGGAGCCAGGTATAATGGTGGACACCTGTTATCTCAGCACATGGGAGACTAGATCAACAATTCAAGGACTACCTGGCCTATAGTGAGATCATGTTTTGTTTGGTTTGGTTTGGTTTTTTGAGACAGGGTCTCACTATGTAGTTGAGACTGAACTGGAACTTCTATGTAGCCCAGGTTGGTCTTGAACTCACAACGATCCTCTTGCTTCAGCCTCCCGAGTGCTGGGATTACAGGCGTGCGCCACGACACCCGGCTTTTTTTTTTTTTTTTTAAAGTAGAGCACTTACAAGCTTAGAGTTCAATCCTCAGAAGTGAAAAAATAAAAACAAAGTAAAATCATAGTTTTTTTTTCCATAATTAATAAAGACAGCTAGGCCAGGCGTGGTGGCAAATGCCTGTGTAATCCCAGCTGAGGAAGGAGGCTGAGGAAGAAGGATCACAGCAAGTTTGAGGTCAACCTGGGCTACACAGTCAAGAGTCAGCCTGAACTACAAATCGAGACCCTGTCTCAAAAAATAAAGAAAGAAAAAAAGATAGTTGGGCATGTGATACATGGCTGTAATCCCAACTACTCAGAAGTTCCCCTGGGCTTAATTCCATAAATCACAAAAAATAAAATAAAATAATGAGTATGATTCCTCTTTTACTTTTTTCCCTTCCCTTAAGGGACAGGGTCTCACTACATTGCTGGTCTCAAACTTGCAATCCTCCTGCCTCAGCCTCCTGAGGGCTGAGATTATAAGCATGTGCCACCATATCTGGCATGTGCCTTCTTTATTCTTGCCCAAGTTGCTTCTATCTAGCCTTTTCATTTAAGTTCCTGAGTCGTCTGAAACACTACTAAGTCTGTTTAGATACTATCAAGTCATGACCCCTGCTGCCTAGTACCAAAAAAAATAGGTCTTAACATGTTCCTCACTAAGGACTAAGGAAAGAAAAAAAACAAAATCTATCTTGCCAGGAGTGATGGTGCCCATCTGTAATCTCAGTACTCGGGAGGCTCAGGCAGGAGGCTCACTGGAGTTTGAGGCCAGCATGGGCTAGCCAGTGAATACCCTGAAGTATTCAGTGAGACCCTGTCTCAAAAAAACCAAAAACAGCATGGTGTAGTAGCACATGCCTGAAATCCCTCACTTGGGAGGCTGAAGAAGGAGGATTGCTGTGAGTTCAAGTACAGCCTGGGGTACAGTGAGTTGAACAGCCTGAACTACATAGCGAGACTGCCTCAAAAACAACAACAAAAACCCAAAACAAAACAAGCCTCTGTTACACCATCTAAATTTTTGTGGACTTTAACCCCTTGTTTCTTTAATTTTCTTCCACCTCCTTTTAGCTCTTCATTTCTAAATTGCTTTTTGCTCCCTTTCTTCCTGGTCCTGAGGGCTAAAATGACACCCTTTCATGAAATAGAGGACTACAAAATCTCCTACAGGGACTTCAAAATCTAGTTCACACCAACAGCAGCAATTCCTATCAACTATCCACAAAATCCACAAGTATCTTAGAAATCACTCAATACCAAAACAAAACAAAACAAAACAAAAAACAAAAAACAAAAAACAACAACAACAATATATATATATATATATATATATATATATATACTCTCTACCTACTGTAGATGAAATACTGTGATGTAATGGTGGTTAGCACATAATAATCTAACTATAGAGATTACAAAAAATACATGGAAATGTAAAAAATACACTGCTGTCAGTAGATTGCAATACATGATCGAAAAAGTACACACAACTGTATTGTTTGGCTATAGAGCAAAGGAGGGCCTGACCACAGTCAGGGATCTCAAGGAAACTATCAGGGAAAGTACAAGCTAGATTCTAAAAGATCCCTGAAGGCACAAAAAGGTAAGGGAGTGAAGGACAGGCTTTGCAGTGGGCCTATACTACCGTCAGCTTCCTAAGAAGGAAGAATATAAAATAGTAATTTTATGTTATGTGTACAATTAAAAAGAGAAGAAAGAGGGCCAAGGATTTATCTCAGTGGTTCTGCTGCCTGCCTTGCAAGCACAAGGTCCCAAATTCGATACCCAGTACAAAAGAGAAAAAAGGATGGATGGGTGCTAGGGTCCCTAAGCTGGCTCAAATAGGTCAGAAAAGCTGGCACAGAGAGCTTGAAGATAATTTCTACGGATAAAAGGGAGCACCCTAGTGACCGTTAAATAATGTAGCCCATTGCATATCCATATACCTGATAATTCCTTTTCTAATTTTAAACACCAACGCTATCTACAACCTGACACTATGGTTAAAGCAAATGAAATTAGCTTACCAGAAAGCAAAGATGTATGTGGTGAAAACTGATGCCTCTTTTCTACTGGGGAGATATATTCCCCAAGTGGGGAAATCTCAGCAGCTTTACTATAACCACAGGACAGAAATTCCAAACCCAGAGGATCAATAGGTCCATATTCTTAAATTTTTTCTACTGGTATCTTATAATATCAGATATCTTACAATCATTTCTAGAAATGAGTCACAAAAAAGCTTTCACGTTCAACTTCTAAACAGTTGCTAAATCTAAGTATCTAAATCTGAGTATCTAAATCCAAGTTATTTAGCCTTTGCTAATCAAATAGGAGGGGAATCCCTAATAGATAAAGCAACTTTCACAGAAATTATACATGGCATTATCTTCTATTTAAATACTAAAAAACAAGTAGCCAGGCATGGTGGCTCATGCCTGTAATTCCAGCACTTGGGAGGCTAAGGCAGGAAGATCGTGGTGAGTGAGACCATCCTGGGCTACACAGTGAGTTCCAGGTCAGTCTCAACTACAGAGTGAGACCCTATCTCAAAAAAACAAAAATAAATAAATAAATACTAAAAATGAAAATTTATTCGGTTGAAATCATGCCAAAGTATCCTTTTCATCCTTCAATTTGATTATATCAGAGAACAAAATTCATCTAATAATTCATGAAAGAAATACAGTAAAAATGGTAAAGTAACAAAAATGTCTCCACTTTGACATAATGACCAATGTTAGGGAAGGAAACATGCTGGAAAATTGTCTAAATAACTGTTTAAAAAAAAAAAAGTAAATAGCCAGGTGTAGTGGTGCAGGCCTGTCTGTGATCCCAGCACTCTGGAAGTTGAGGCAGAAGGACCACCATGAGTTCAAGGCTAGCCCTAGCTACAGTGAGTTCAAGGCTGGCCTGAACTATAAAGCAAGACCCTGTCTCCAGAAAAAAAAAAAAAAAAAAAAAAAAAGAGAGAGAGAAAGAGGGGAAATAGTGCAGACATTAATTGGCCTGTGAGGCGCAAGACATCCAAAGGTATGTTAGTTCAAATGTTAAGAAAGTAAAATCCAATGGCCAGGAATTTAGCTCAGTGGTGCCACCATCTGCTTCGCAAGCACAGGTCCTGAGTTTGATCCCTAGTACCCCCCACCCAATAAGTTAAAAAAAAAAGTAAAATCCTAACTGGAAAAACCAACTTTTTTCATTCTTTAAAATTTCTATAATACCTACAAAATCAATTAAATGCAAGCTATGAGAGCCTAATTTTTTTTTTTTTTTTTTTTTTTTTTTTGGTACCAGGAGTCAAACTCGGGACCTTGTGCTTGTAAGGCAGGCGGCAGCACCATTGAGCTAAACTCCTGGCCCAAGAGGCTAATTTTTTTAAAAAGCTACTACAAAAATCCCTTTCAACATTATATAGTAATCACCAGTAAGTGTGAAACCAATGAGTTAATTAGCCCAAAGGGAAAAGCAGGGATATCTGGATATTTGTTAAGACACTGATGAGTCAAAAAGGGTTACGTAGAAAATGGTGATTCTAGGGCCGGGGATTTAGCTCAGCGGTTCGGTGGCCTGCCTTGCAAGCACAAGGACCCAAGCTCAATCCCCAGTACCAAAAAAAAAAAAAAAAAAAAAAAAAAAAAAAAAAAAGAAAGAAAAGAAAATGGTGATTCTATTATTTGTCTTATTTACCTCAAAGATGTGTAAGATTCACTCTCTGAAATAAGTGCAAAACTGTGCAAGTCTGCTACTATATGCTTCTGATTTATCTTTCTTGAATCTCTTCTACCCCCTAATTTCTAATTCTTAGTGAGGACCTTAAACATGTATATAGTAGAAAACAACCAACTGTTAACAAAATATCCAAATGATATAAAATATACTTAAATTTGATTTTAAGCTACCAGATCATTCACTCAGTCTGTTAATTAACAACAGCTCATCCTCAGAATTAACTAGGGAGATCATAATTATAACCATATTACTCACCTTTAGGACAGAGGCTAAGCTGGTCATATGTTCATTGAGAGCACCCTCAGACTCCTTATAGGTCAAGCAAGTAAACTGGTACTCCTCCGGATCAAAGGCATCAGCCCCTTGCTGCTCCACATCACTAGCTACTCCCACATAATAGTCCTCTATGTCCCCAGGGTCCTCATCCTCCTCTTCCTCCTCACAATTTGGGTCATAGTCCTCCTCATTGCTGTCAGACCCCTGGCTATTCATGTCCACTGACATCTTTGCATCCAGTAAAGTTGCAAATCAGGAACTTTTCTCCCCTCAAACTTCACCGCTTTCTCAAATGCATTAGTGATTCTGTATTCTAGAAAGAAAAAAAAAGTGTTATTTTTTTTTTTCATGATAGAAACCATTCAAGAATCAATCCTGGCCCCACACACACTATGGCCTAATCCCATCTTAGTCTCATATAGGGAATCTCACCAATATGCCCCTGGCCCAGGTTCATCAAAGGGAAATCCTTTCCTGAAGCAGCAGCAGCAGCAGCTGATAATGGTGACTTCACATAAAGGGCCTGACATGAAATAGCAAGGATATCTATCCCATATCAGGGAGCCAAATTCCAGTAGGCTTGTCTTCTTAGCAGAGTCCTTAAGAGAGAGGCACATCCTCACCGTTTGCTACACACGGGATAGATAATGTAAAGGTTTAGCTACCAAAATTTAGAAATTTTGCTAGCTTGGCATGGTGACACATTCCTGTAACACCAGCTCTCAGGAGGCTAAGGCAGAAGAATCATCTTGTGTTTGAGACAAGCATGGATTATACAAGTGAGTTAGTTCAAAGCCAGCCTGGACTACAAACAAGTCTTTTTCTCAAAAACAAAACTGTCCCACTGAGGGGTGACATAGACAGTATATGATTGTAATATATAGGGAAAGAAAACATCCTTCTGAGATGTCTGGAAAATAGGTGCCTATTTACAAAAGAAAACTAAAACCACATAACTCTTTCACATCTACCCCCTCCTCTGCAAAGTAAACTAACTTTTCAGTTTTTTGGGGTTTTTTTGGTTTTTTGAGACAGGGTCTCACTATGTAGTTGAGACTGACCTGGAACTCACTATGTAGCCCAGGCTGGTCTTGAACTCACAGCAATCCTCCTGCCTCAGCCTCCCGAGTGCTGGGATTACAGGCGTGCGCCACCACGACCAGCCTAACTTTTCAGGTTTTATTTAGACTTATACTGAAGCTGTGTATGATAGCACAAGCCTGCAATTTCAGCTACCTGGAAGGCTGAAACTGAAGTGGGAGGCTGGGAATGTAGGTTTAACCTCCACTAACCCCCTTACCTACCAAAAAGGTATCTGTTAAATCATTTAAAAGGGTACTTAAGAGGACTGGGGGTTTGGCTCAGTGGTTCCATCGCCTGCCTCACAAGCACAAGGGCCCGAGTTCAATGCCCAGTACCAAAAAATAAAAAAAAAAAGGTACTTAGAGGTGAAGAAATTGAGCCTATGGTGAAGGAAAACGAGATATTTTAACAGGATCAAGGTTAGGTAAAAACTATAATCAATTCTGGATCAAGAAACAAGAGCCCAGGGCTAGGGATTTAGCTCAGTGGTTCTGCCACCTGCCTCACAAGCACAATGTACCAAGTTTGATCCCTGGTACCGGAAAAAAAAAAAAAAAAAAAAAA